GGCGAGCCAGCCCCCAGCCACAGCCCAACCAGGCAGGGCTCCGTGCTCCCCTACTCGTGTGGAGAACAGGGCCCAGGTGGCCTCGGTCAGGCAGGGCCTGCACTGTGCCACGGGGATACACGTGGCCTGTCCACTCCAGGCTGGCGTCTTTTCCAGATTCCCCGGATAGGGTGCTGTTATCCCTGGTCCTCTCACCTGGCTAGTGCTGCCTGGTAGCCCCAAGCTCAGCAGGCTCCTTCATAACACCCCGTGTCCCCAAGCAGAGCCTGCTCCCTGTGAACAAGGAGGCCCCCAGGGCGGTCCCACCAAGGACCAGGCTTCTGCCTCTGGGTCTTCCTTGTCACGTGGAGTGGAAATGACAGGGCCATTGACAGACGGCTCCTCTCCAAGGCATTGGGTTGGATTGATCTCTGCATCTGACAGCACAGGGCGTGGGGCCTCAGAAGTGTCGCCGAGAGAGACAGCTGGCCTTTCCTGTGAGAGGAGCACAGCTCCACAGCCCCCTTAGCTCGGGGTCCCTGGAGCTCCTGAAAACTGCCTGTCATTGGCACGAGGGCAGCCCGTGTGACCGGCTTCCGCACTGGTGAGCGTGCACTGCAGACAGCACCCGGGCCCCGCTGCAGGCACAGGGCAGAGCCCAGCCAGGGCCCCCATGGCAGACCCTCCTTCCTGGCCCAGTCCTCCAGGCCGTGCCATGCTTCTCTCTCCTCTGGCCACAGGTGGGCACCGGGCCAGGCGTGGGCTTCAACGTCAACATGGCGTTCACCGGAGGCCTCGACCCCCCGATGGGAGACACGGAGTACCTGGCAGCCTTCAGGTGAGCCTCCTGGCCCAGCATCCCCTCTTCCTGCGGGAAGATGTGCCAGAGTCCCCCCTCAGAGTAGTCAGGTCCCTTTGCAGCTTCGTGTATGGAGAACAGGGCCCAGGCACCATCCTGTGTCCCCTCTGCCACCCTGGGTCTTCAGGACTGCCCTCTCACATCATTCCCGACGTTCCCATCCAGGTGTGAAGTCCAAACCGGGACGAGTCGTGGGCCTGATGGCGAGGGTGTGCCTGAGGTAGACAGGGCTCTCAGCATGTCAGGACTCCTGTCGCTGCGGGGTGAAGGTTGTTGCTTCCAGACCTCCCGGTCCCCCTGCTTCCCCACAAAGCCTCAGTGAGGTGATGCACAGTGGATGTGACCTCCGTGTAAGAGTCCCGAGTGACCAGCACCTCTTTGTACCACGTCCTTTGGGAACTTTAGAATTTAGCTGCAGGTGACTTCTTTAACCATAGGGTTTGCTTTCATCGTCAAATGGTAATTTCTGCTTTGATCTGGTCAGATGGAGTCAGCCTGGCCACCAAAGTGGGTGGCATGCCAGCGCGGTTCTCCGTGTGGCTTCACTGTCTCGGGGCCAGCTGGCTCCGGGTGCAGCGTGGAGCCCGTGAGGGGGAGACTTGTCTAGCGTGAGTGCCCTGCTGCAC